AAAAAATTACTTTTTTTTTTTGTAATTTAAATTTTTGTTTTTTTTCGTTTTACTGTCAACCCCCCTCCCAAAAAAAATATTTTTAAATATATTTTTCAGCTTTAATTTTTTTATTTATCGGTTTAAAGGTTCAAAATTTTATAAGTTCCAAAATTATGAGTTCGGAGGTTTATGTGTTTGGAAGTTTACGGGTTCGAAATTTCGGGTTTTGAAAGTTTAGCGGTTCAAAAGTTTATTTGTTGGTTTGAAAGTTTATGGCTTCATGTTTATTATATCTAAATTATTTATGAATACTCTTGAGAAGTCATTTTTCTTAATTTGCGTACCAAACGCCGAAAAATGAATAAGATTACTACTTGTTTTCCAAGAAAATATTTTCTTTGAAAATATTTTCCACGGAAAACATTTCCGTTATACCAAACACACCCTTAATGAGAAGTTTTTATAACCACATAAATGTCATGGCCCCACAAAGGTTTTACCCCTTAAGCTTTTAAGACCACAAGTTTCAAAAATCTTCTTCTTTTTTCTTAAATTCTGTGCCGAGTCAAACTACCTCATCTAAATTGAAATGGAAGGAGTAGTAACTAGACAAAAATGAAAAAATTAGAAATAATAACAGTTTGTTTTAGTTTATGATATACGCTATGATGTTATAAGAGTAAGGGCGTGTTTGGTATGAAGGAAAATGTTTTCATAGAAAATGAGTGATTTATGACTTATTTTTCCATAGCAGGAGCTTTGCGCACCGAGCTGCCTTTTTTTTGGTTGGTGAATGAAAATAATTTTTCCGAAAAATATTTTCTAGTGTTTGGTTGGAGAGTAAAAAATATTTTTTAGGAATTTTTTTTATGTTACTCTCCTCAACCCCTTCCCCCAAGTCCCCATATTTCATGTGCTGCCTCTTCCACCTCCAAATTCAAGAATTTAATTATTCTTCTAAAAACTCACACAAAACCAAATGAACTAATGTAATGCTTTACTTTTTACACAAAAACAACGTTGAAATTTGTGGTCCATAAAAAAAAAAAAAAAAGAAAATGCTTTTTCTACAACATGAAAATAAAGTACTCATTGTGCTGAAATAAAAGAAAATATTGTTTTTCATCATGAAAAGAAAATACTCATTTGTTGAAATTAAAAAAGTACTCTATTTATATCACGAAAAGAAAGTATTATCAATAATATTTCTATTTAGAAGGGGGTGAGGTTGGCCGTGAGTAGGTGTGACACACGGTCGGGGTCGGGTCGGATATGAGCGGGCTAAAACGGGTAATTTTAAAAAAAAAACGGATAAATTATCCGACTCGATCCGTATTTGAGACAGATAGAAACGGGTTTATCCGGCGGATAATATGGATATCCATGGCTTCTTAAATATGATCACTTATGAGAGAATTCCTAGTCTTCCGAACTTAAGGAACTCCAATTTAAGGCTTTACAAATGTAAAAGGTAAACACATTAGTTATCCATTTGGCTAACCATTTTCTTAGTGGATAATATGATTCTATATCCATGTTCGACCCGTTTTTATATGGTTCATTATCCAACCCATTTTTTGATGGATAATATGTGTGGATAACTGTTTTCTTTTAACCATTTTGCCACCTCTAGCCGTGAGGGTAGGGGTAAGGAAAGAGTAGGGGTTGGGTTAGATGTGGGTAGCTGGGGTATTGGGATGGGTTGATAGGGATGGAGAATAGGGTGGGGAAGGTTGAAAAAAAATTTGGAAAATATTATCCTTTCTCTATTGGAGGAAAATGTTTTACCTATTTAAAAAGTGAAATGTTAGTCCCTATTTGAAAAAAGAAAAGAGAAAATATTTCTTTCAAAATATTTAAGCCAATTAAATATGAAAAAATTGAAAAATATTTTTCAAAAGATATTTTTCCTCATACCAAACAGACCCTAAATAATGTAAATTATCTCCTATGGTCGTTTACAATTTAAAAAGGGAAATGTTAGTGAATTACATAATTATTAAATCAGGATTAGAGCAAATTTTATTTACCGCACCAAGAAACACACTATTAAGGGGGGGAAAACGAATTTCCTGCTCTTTGAAGAGAGTCTCCTTTTATTTCTAACTTCAAAATAAATTCGCAGTGTAATTTGGCAGCGGCGGCAATGGAGGATTGCTCATCATCCCTTCCTCCGAACAAAGCAACAACTTCTGGTGCCGCAAAATACCTAGCCGACCTCCCTTCTCGCGGCCTCTTTTCCTCCACCACTACTGTCGTCTCCTCTACTCCGGTAACATTCCCCCC